TTCCTGCTCACGCATAAGACACTGAAAATGATGAAGCGAGTCAAGTGTCTGCCTCGGGTAGCCTGCACAGACAGTGATTATTTTTCTTTCTCCTTTGCTGAGTTTTAAAAAATGACTCCATAACGAAATTACGTGAAACGTTTATTAGAAATCTTCATTTTTAATCTTAAGTCACAGTTTTAAGTGACAATTATATTTCTACCGAGTATTTTAGAATATTAAACTTGTAAAATTTAACACAAAGCCAGCAACATAAGTCGGTCTGAAAGCCAAGTGACCTGACAACTCATCAGGCAACTAAAAACCAGCCTCTGAATCAGAGCACAATTCTGGGAAGAAGGTTAACAGATGTTCTAGAAACAAGAAAAGAAAACTGCAGACAAGTACAAATGACAGTTTACTTTTACCAAACAGCTTATCAAATGATCTTTATGTAAATACTGCAAATGTTACAAAGCCCCTCAAGAATCCCAACATTATTTTTACAGATTAAGAAAGAATAAAGGCCAAAAATAACACCAATAACTCAATTAAAATAACTCATGCTTGTGTTTACATAAAATTAGATGAGCATAATATATTCGTCACACCACTGTAATTATTCTCTGAAAATAATACTCTAAATATTATTTTCACAATGTAATTATAGTTCTTACCTCAAAAGTGGTTAACAAAAACACTGGCACAGATGCCCTGCTAAAATTCTACCAAGAATAAGGTTCTCACAGAGAAACAGACACTTTATCAGGAGACAGAATACGTTGCAAAAGATTTGTATTAGGTTTGAACTAATATACTATAAACTTTCTTAAGTTCATTGCTGAATCCAAATTTCATTGTTGAATTCCAAATAAAATTCAGTAATATCATTAGTTGCCTTTTGAAAGAAAATAGTGAGAAGTATCACTTAGCCTCTATATTCCTTCTTGCCTCAATAAGAGCCTTCCGACCCTGCGTGTAAACACAGGTTCTCCGCTTGAAATCGATGCAACTGAAAAGTTAAAGACCTAAGTAAATAGGGAGATGTTCCATATGCATGGATTGGAAGACACAGCATCACCAAGATGGCCATTCTCCTCTAATGGGTCTATAAATTCGACATAACGCCTAGTATCCACAAAATATTAACTCTTACAACTTGACAGGGAAAAGACAAACTGCCCAAATAAGAACTGGGCCAAGGACTTGAAGAGACACTTCCCCAAGAGGATTTACAAATGGCCAACAAGGATATGAGAGGTTTGACCCCATTAGCCAGTAGGGAACTACAAATCAAAACCATAATGAGATGCTACTTCACACCCACCAGGATGATTATAATCTAAGAAAAGAAAAATAAATTTTGGTACGGATGTGGAGAAACTGGAACCTTGTACATGGCTGGTGAAAACGTAAAATGGTCAGCTGCTGTGGAAAAGTCTGGCAGTTGCTGAAAAATTTAAATATAAAACTGCTCAGCAATGCCACTGCCAGGTGTGTGCCCAAAAGGCCTGCAGGCAGGAGGCAGGTACTCAGACATCCAACTATTTACAGGCGGAATAACAACCAACTGGTGGAGAGAACCCAACGTCCACCAACGAGTGAATGGAGAGACAAAACGTGGTCTATGTGTACACGCAACGGTGTCCGGCATAAAAAAATGAAGCGACAATATGTGCTAGATGTGGATGGACCTCAAAAAACATTACACTCAATGAAAAACGCCACACACGAAAGGTCACATAACTCTAGGATTCCATTATGTGAACGATCCAGAATGGGTAAGTCCACAGACACAAAAACGCACAATGGTGGTCGCCGGGGGTTCAGGGGAGAGGGGAATGAAAGGGGATGAAACGGAATAAAGAGGGAAAAACCGATGACACCAGAGAGAAAGGGGGTAATTTCAGGAGGAGAGATTCTGAGTGGGCGACTAGGGACAGGATTCGACGCACACGTGGAGCGCTGGCTCCGGCTGATAGTTATTTAATCACAGCGTTTGAAGGGCACTTCCTCTCGGTGTCTTATGTAGGAGGACTTCATCACAAGAGAAGCCTACTTCTGGCCACCGCAGCCACTCGGCTCTGCAGGGACACACTATCCCCCACGCCAGTATCTTTCAGCAATTACGAAACGCGGTACATTCTGCCCTTTCTGAATTACCATACTACACACAGACTTCAAAAATAGCTGCCCTTCCGCACAAGAGGAGTGAAACCTTATTTTATTGCTCATTTTTAATCACCCAAGTTGGGCATTGAGGCTTTCATTTTATTTAACAAAAATAACTTTATAACATCTTAAAGATAACTTACAACTAAATCCTATAATCATGTCGATTTCCTGAGAATACCAGAAAAATTATTACTGTTTTAAATTCTTAGATAACGTAATTCAAAAAATAATTACAATTCCCAAACAAAGAATTCTAAATCAAACAGAGAAATGTAGGAATTTTAAATGAGTTTGAAATGAAAACACTTAGAAGGAGAAATAAACGAACCTGGCAGCACTTGTAACAGCTAATTTCACCTACTTCACTCTGCGCCTCAGTTTCTCCGCTTGTGAGAGACTATCACCCTCCTAAAGTCACGCGTGTTAACATTGAGCACATCTCACTTTGTGTAATAAGCATGGGCATTAAGAACTATATATAAACCAATTTATAAATCATTTTAAATACAGCCAGAGATTTCCCATTTAAAAAAGTTATTTACTGAATTACATTTTCTTTACTAAAAAGAATTTTTTTAACCTGCAATCTAGTACATCTACTTACAAACTAGATTTTCTTATTAAACGACTTAGTTTGCCCATAAAGTATTTCTTTGGATAAAGAGATCGTATATTAAAATTCTGTTTTCTTTTATACGATGTTAATAACCCTAGTTCAAAGGAGAAGTGTTGATACTAGTCCTTCGAATCCAAAAATATTCAAAAAAAATCTAGAAAAGATTCCTGGTCTTCAAATCAAGAAGCTTGGTTTTCCTCTTAATCCCATAGCAACGGCCATTAACAACCAGAGCCAACTTCCCATTCTGTCACACTACGTATTTATCCACTTAAGGTATTTATGCTGGCTCCCTCACTGGAATGTAAGCTCCTCGAGGGCAGATTTTTGTCTGCTTGTGGTCACTGTTCAGATCATACCCAACCCGTAGAACAGGGTCTGCCACATGCTTGAATATGGAAAGACACTGAATTACTCTGCCAGGGCCGACATCATAAAGTGCCACGGACTAGGGCTTCGACAATCAAAATGTATCTCCTCACAGCTCAGGAGGCTAGAAATGAGATGAAGGTTGTCGGCAGGTTACTCCTGAGGCCTCTCTCTCTCTTTGGTTTGTGGATGGCCATCTTCCCCTGTGTCCTCACATGGTCGTCCCTCTATGTGTCTGTGCCCTACCGTCATGCTGGATTAGCACCCACCCAAAAGACCTCCTGTACCTTAATTATCTCTTTAAAGGCTCTACCTCCAAATACAATTGCATTCTGGGGTATGACAGGTTAGGACTTTAACATATAAATTTGGGGGGACACAATTCAGTCCACAAGAGAGGTAAGAAAGGAAATCGTTGCAACTTTATTTCACGGTAATTCTTTAATATCACTAACAAAGTTTCTCTATCGTGAAATACAGAACATTTGCTTTAATGACTGACGTGATACTCCAAGCATTGGTTTTGAAGCCCTTTTCAAAGATATAAATAAGTCATGAATCAAAAAGCAAGTTACCTGTCAGCAGAGACTCCTGCTCCACTCGCAGCTCCCGAAAGAGAAAAATCAAATCAACAGCAATGCAGACCGCATCCAAGTTCCTGCGTCAGATTGTGAGAAACGACAAAGTTAGACCCTTCTTCCTAAGCCTGCGTCTCAAACGATCCAAAAACAGTGCCGAGACCATTTCCTGCGGTAGCAGAACACGGCCTCCACGGACGCCCCGTTATACTCTCCAAAACCCATGAACGCGTTACCTTACGTGACAAAAGGGACTTGCCAGTCTCGAGTTAATTAAAGATCCTGAGACAGGAAGAGTCCCTGGACTGTCTGGGCAGGCCTCACGTGATCACAAGGACCCTTCGCAGGAGGGGGCAGGACGGGCGGTCAGAAAGAATGGAAGATGCTAGGTGCTGCTCTGAAGACGGGAGGCCGGGTCCATGAGCTAAGGGATACAGGCGGCCTCTGAAGCTCGGAACGCAAGGGAACGGATTCTCCACTAGGGACTCCAGAAGGAAGCAGCCCTGTGACACTGTGACTTTCAGTCAGTGGGACTGATTTTAGACTCTGACCTCTAGAACTGTAAAATAAGAAATTTCTGTTGTTTTAATCACTAAGTCGGTGGTAACTCGTTACAGCAGCAAAGGAAACTGATACAGCTCCCTACCTTCTCCCCCTCTCCTCAACGTGAATCAGAATTAAGCCAAGACATTCACTCATAAAGAGGGCTGCAGTGGGGGCACGCGGCTAAGGTCCCCTCGCCCGCCTCGGCTCTTTACCATGCATAAGGCTGGTGGGGAAAGCGGTTGGGCGCCAGCCCCTAGAACAGAAGAGGCTCCTACCTTTACACACACAAGTGGTCACACTGCCGATTTCTACGTGACCAGATTTTAAGAAAGAGAGGGAGGGAGGGAGGGAGATGTAATTTCATGATGTGAAAATTTTATGCAGTTCCGATTTCAACATTCCCAAATGAAGATTCATCGGAACACAGCCATGCCCGTTCACTCATGTGACACTACGGGGAGAAGTGAGGCATGCTGACAGAGACCACGAAGCCTAAAGTGCTCGCTATCTGGCACTTTACGGAAAAAGTACAGCAGCTCCTGCACGAGAGGTTGTATTTACACGCAGTGTTAACTGCTTTGAACAGGTCTGAATACTTCCTGAAATTTCATATGACTCGGGTCGTTTGCTTTGCTGTATCAGACCCTGCTCCATACGTCCTAACAAAATATAAGCCCTGCCCACACAAAGTGCCATGTTCAGACAAAAGATGTAAAAAAGGTCAAGGCTTCAGCAGCATCACATCTTTTGACCAGCTCTTTAATAACTTAAAATATACATCTCCTGAAAAACACATACGGGTTGTGATCTGAATCTTGACGAGCTCAGAAATAGTGGCTTTGGTTAAGGTTGGCCTCGAAGTCCTTACTAGAATTTTTGTTGTATTTCTGATTAATAAATGCTTTTTTTTTCCAGGAGCTGATGACCAAAATGGTTGAAATTTCCCTTAAAATCCACAGTGAATAACACGACAAACCGAGAAGGTAAGAGGCAGAAAAACTAACTCTTAAATGGTCATCTGCCATGAAAAGATACCGTGACCACACAAACTACAGCCCTTTCTCGGATGGCCCTGCCAGGAGACAGCTGATATTTCATCTGCCATAGTATTTATCTTGCAATGTTTCAATTTTTACAGTTTGCTTATATAGCTTTTGCTCTCAAAAAAGAAAAGAATTGTTTTCTAAGAAAGCAATGTTAGCTCACGCGTTTACTACGCAAGCGCTGCCCGGCGGGGGCAGAAACGCATTGTGGGCATGCCACGCGCACAGGCACACGGGGCATTCACCTAAGCGATCTCATTTAACACCCACGACAGGCCTGCGTGGGAGCTTCCGCTCACCGGTTCACAGAGAACACTGGTACTCAGAAAGGGGACGGCCCTTGGCCAGGGTCACACGGCTGTGTAAGGGATGGCAGATGCACACGACAAAGCAGACGTGTGTCTTGGGATAGTTATGGTGACGCTTCTGAGCCGAGCTTTCATTTGGAGTCAGAAAGAAGGTTCCCAGGCTCTCCACTCACAGGGTGAGCGACTCTCAGACAAGCTCTTAAACTGAGTCATGGTTCCTCTTTTGTAAAAATGCAAAAACAGTAGCATACTACGTCTTGGGGTTGTTCTACGCATTAAACGAGATGCTGCACGTCGAGGTCTTGGGACAAAGCCTAGTGGTTAGGGCAGGCTCACCGAATGCTCGCCTCCTTCCCCACGAGGCTAGGAAAGCACTAGAACTCGGCCAGCCCACAAACGACGACTCTGTCCTAAGGCTCTCCCTTCCCTGCCCCTTCGTACTAGAGGGCCTCCCTGCCCAGAAAGGGACAAAATAAACTAGCCTCGGGGCCACTCGTCTAGCATGTAACTAGTTCTGTCTTTAAAATGTTAACTATTATTATCAAGATTATAATTGTTTCTATCCATTTACCTGCAAAAGATGGCAGGTTTGGTTTAGAATTGAAGTTAAACAACCCTAGTTTTTTTCCTCCTCTCCTTTCATCTTAAAAATCTCATTAATCATATCAAAGCCTCAGGTATAAGAACTGTCTAGGCAGCGAAGGACGTCCCTCAAGTGGCTTCTGGACCGGCCTAACTTCGCCCATGACAGACAGCCGTGACAGGGAGGCCTGGAGGCTGTCTACATTCAATTTCAGGGGAGAAAGGTGAGCATGCTCTTTGCGGCTTGTGACTTCATCTCTAGCAAAAATTTTTAATAAAAAGCAGATTCCATAAAAATCGGAGAGGACAGGTGCTCAGTTCTGGGCAGAGAGAATAACGTGTGAAAGACAAGAATGGTGCGGAGCAGAGCTGCTCGTCTCTAGCCACATCATCACAGGGATGGCGTGGAGCCTGCAACCGCACAGTCCCAAGGAAATCCCAAGACGGGTCCTCTCGAATTTGCAAAACACGATCCCTGCTCGAAATAAACACCAGGGTAACTGATTAAAACACTGAAACTAATTAAAACATTTACCACTAAGACGAGCGAGGTCCAGAGCTGCCTGCGCATTCAGACAGGCAGAATCTGGGATCAAAGATGCAACATGAAGTTCGGATCACGGTGCTTCGAAGAAAACCCAATACCTCACAACACATTATGGAGACAAACGAGAAACCAAAGGAGCCTGTTCAATACACTCCGTCACCTGCCACGCCGGTCCAGCCTCAGCGCGCGTCTGCCCTGGAGGTGCGCGGCAGCGGGTGACGCTGTGCCGCCCGACCGTCTCTACCAGAGCCACTCTCCCACGCAGAAACGTCACGAGACACACACGGGCGACCGCGAACACTGCTACCTGATGGAATTCTGGTTCACGAAGCACTCGATGCACGCGTTGCGCAGACACCGGAAGCACTCGGTGATGAGCTGCAGGCTGGACGCCAGGTCATCCACCTGGGACGGGTCTCTGCAGGCCCGCTCGACGGCGTGAGAAGATTTCTTCAAGATATCCAGGACTCTCTGGAAGATAGTCCTGGGCGCCGTCTCTCTAAAAAAAGGATAGAATTGTTACAGAACAAAAAATAATCTAATCTCCAAATGTCCCGTTTGGAACACGGCTTGTACTTATTCCCCTGGGGAGGTGGCCAGGCCCATGTCTTTCAGCTCCCGAATTTGTGACACAAAGTAGAACAACTACACACTGAGCACTTACTACGTGCCAGGCGCTGCTCTTATCAACCGGTTCTGTATTATCTCGCTTAACCTCTGCATTAACCTTCTGAAGCCTGTACTGTCCCCTCCATTCTAGAGATAAGATGGCCGGAGCGGAGGAGGTTAAGGAAGTGGCCCACACCGCTCCGGGGGGGTGGCAGAGTCACAGCTGCACCCGGAGCGGACTGGCTGTCGTTCGCCCGCTCCCAGCACAGGCCGGGTCCCCGCTCAGGTGACTGTTCACGCTACGGATCCACCCTTAATCCGCACGGAGCACCTACATTCCATGTTCCAGAGACAAAACAGAGCCATGTCCTCTGTCACGCGGTATGTGCCTAAAGTACACTTACGAGAAACAGTATTCATGAAGGACTGCCTGGGTGGCAAACACGGAGACGCTGGCGACGTGTGCTCTGAGAGAGAGACGGACAGACGGACAGACGGATGGACAGAGAGGGCGAGAATCCAGTCAACTACACAGATTGCCGGGGGGAGAGGGGGAGACGGAGGGAAACAGAGAGACCGAAAGAGAGAGCCCTCTTCAACTGCGAGTGTGCCCAGGGGAGGGAACGTCCCCTGAGGCACCTCGGTCCAGGAGCGCGGGCTGCAGTGGCCATCACCCCAGAGCTAGGAAGATAAGAATGTGTTTGTACGACATGGCAGCTAAATGTGAGCCAACGTCCTCACTCCTCGACGCCCCTAAAGAAACAGCAACCTGTTTTCAAGCTGGAGGTCCGGCTGTGGACGACCGACGAGCGCCTCGCTGGTTAACTCTGACCACATGGCTGCCCCCCGCCGCCCCCCGCTCTACTGTGCCCACGTCCTGTCCTCGGATCAGGCCAGGCCTCAGTCGGGGAACGGAGCGTTTACGCAGAACCAGCAACACCGAAATGCCTCCCGTGGCTGCGCAGGCTCAGGTGCCTGTCAAGACGCTACGACCCCTCCTTCCCACCCAGGGGGGACCCTGCCCTCATGGCTGCGGCTCTGCGAGCACGTGTACTCCCAGTGGCGTGCATCCGCCTCACGGGCAGACCACACGAACCACACTATTTATCTGCCTGGGCCTTTACGGCGCCTGGAGTCAAATCTATGGTCCATCTTTACACTGAATCCCACGGCAATACTAACCTCATTTTTCCGGTCTGGCTTCTCTCCTCTCCCCATTCTCCTCTCTTTTATTTAACTGTATTTACTTTTTAAACTGTTTCTCATTTGTCTTTGGAAAGGGGGGCAGAGTGTAAATCAATCAATTTAAAATTGGGAAATCACACAAAATAATTTGCCCATATCTCCCCAGTCAGCCCTCCCTAAATATGGATCATGAAGCTCTGACTCAGTGTCGCAGTAACTAAGTGACAGAATCAAAAAGGTAAAGATCAGTAACTGCATAAAACAATTAAGTATGTAAGCCTCAGTAACTGCATAAAACAATTAAGTATATAAGCCATTTTCAATAGCAATGTGCCATAAAAAAGAACATTCACTAAACATTCTCAAAAAAGTTTTAAGGAATATTACACATTAATATGCTAAGAAAATACCCATTTTAAGAAACATTTTAAAGAACGACAAGAGTGATCTCGATTCCTACTAGAGCTCTACACCCGACTGTTCTAAAGTTAAGCCTCTTTTTTTCTAGAAAGATAGCTAAGAAGTGTGCGTTTACACCTACATAGAAGCCAACATGATTTCTTTCAGCTAGTCCTTTGTCAGCCACCTCTCCTGTGGGCGTCACCTGAGGTCACTGTGAGATCTTAGCACTCGTTTTACTCGAACTGGTATCCAGCATAGCAAAAGCTTTGGAATCAAACTAGGTAGAGAGAACAAGACAGGAGAAAAGGGCTGTTCTTAGGAAAACTGGGTAACTGATGTTCCAACCACGGGACAATCAGGAAGTTCGTGAACTATCCTGTGGAGAATTTCCAGTGTTACATGCTAATCTGTCATATACGTACCGTGTCTTTTTCCTTTATTACACTTTTAACCATAAGAAAAATGTTTAACTGAGCTTAAGCCCATCAAAAGAATCCTGAGCTCCAAATAACTATTACAGCTACTAAGGAGCAATCATGGCAGCATCCACCTGGCACAGAGTAATCCCCATCTGCGGTACAGACACAAAATAACTTGGGATGGTGATCACTGTCATTTGCTCTCCTGGGCAGCACACCCATGATTTCCTGAAGGCGCCAAGCACTGGCAAGCCTGTGTCTGCTCAAACGTGTGCCTGTCCCCCACCACCCCCCCACCCAATGCCCTTCCCACACGATCCCACCCAACTGTCTGGAACAATCCTGCGTCTCCCTCACTCTCAGCCCTGTGAGCTTCCCCCGCTACCCCAGGCAAACCCGCTCCCACCTCCGCGCTCCAGCGGCCCGCCGGCCAGGGGGCTGGATACCACCACCCACATCAGATTATACTCGCTCACCCAGTCTATGTCCCCAGCTAGCCTATAATGCCCCGAAACAGAGACTATCTTGTTTTTTTTTTCTTTAGTTCTAGGGCCCAGAACTGACATTCATTAATTGAATTTGTTCAAGTTTAAAACAATGATGAGACTCTGCCTACTTGGAGTGGCATCTGACAGCTTCGCAGCTCGTTAGTGACCCAGACCCCTCCTGAGCCAACTAGGAAAGGGAGCCACTGAGGCATCAGCCCAACTCTTCCGTTCCCATCATGAAATCCACACCCATGTATTCTAGGCTCAAACACTTGAAAAACTGTCATATTTTAAGATGGAGTTATCTCACGACTGATCTTTAACAGACATCTAATTTCTCCTTCTCCACTAAACGATACAGTGGATAAGCTTAAAAGGGGGAGAGATGGGTGGAGTTGTAACCCGATGGACTGTATTTTAAACGTCTTGAGAGCAAAGACTATTTCTTAAATGTCTGTATTTCTCCACAAAGGATGGGAGGGGAAAACCCTTTCCTCCCATTTAATAAATAGCTATAGATTTTACTCACCAGATTTTTTACGTTAATAACTTTCATCAGATGAAGACAATTTTACTAACACTAAATGCTACGAAAGCATTTAACTCTCTTCTATACTCCTTTACCTTCCATACAGATTTTTTTTAAAAGCTATTTGGCATTACAGATCCCAAGGAGTACTGTCTGCAAAATCTATGTTCACTGTCAAGACCACACAGCTAAATGTGGCTGATGACTACCGACAGAGAAACAGCTAGTAAAGATCAGTCAATTGTTCCTAAACTGCAAATGTTATTAATAATAAAAACTGCTGTCATTTCTGCTTTCCCAAAACTAACACAAAATATTCACAGAGACTTTAATAAGCTTAGTTACTTCATTCACAGAAGGCAGAAAGTACTTAAGAGGACAATTAAAATTCAACCGTTAGACATTCCTATTAGATAGGAATGCATACCCTGAAGACAACGTAAAAATGAAATGTTACATTACAGAAGCAAAAAAAAGCAAAAAAAAGCCTTTGAATTATACAAAAGGTAGAATTTCATTTCCTTCAAGTTTGAACAGATCTGTAGGTTTAATCTTGGCAAGTCCTGTTTGAGTAAAATTAAAGAAAACTAGCAGTGACTAAGTGTAACCGGTTAGAGAGGTCTAATACAATATATGCACACACGTTTCACAGCTAATGCACCGGGTGGGACCTCCTACCGAAAAGGAAACTAAACACTCGCCATTGTAATGCTGCAGCTGAGACTTTCATACTTGTTAAAAGATTTATTCTAATACCTGGATTCCATTAAAAACTGGCATATGTGGTTTAGAGTAGTTTAACCACTGTCACTAAGAAAAACTATTAAAATATACACGAGTTTAGAGATTAAAGTAACAATCACTGGTTGTTATCTAAAACCATAAACCTCGGCTACTGATTTGACTGGGCTGGATTGAAAAACAGAAAATAAAAACATTTCTATCTTCTGCCAGAAGCAGCCCAGGGCGAAACTCTGAAATTCGTCTTTGCAGACCCCAAACTCTCCTTCT